TCTTTATTGTCCGTACTTCCTGACAAGTTACTTTCTCTGGATTTAAGTGCAAGACATCGGTTATCAGGGGACCTAGGAGAGAAAAATGAAACAATAACACAGGTTTGAAAAGCCCTTGAAGAAACACAAGGGAGGTTGTTAGTCCAGGGGCTACAGGGTACAGGGTACAACCCTGCCTCCAACTACAGCAAAACGTTTCACTATTGCACAAACTGAGCCTAGGATCAAAGAAGATCTGTTGAACAATTACAGGCACTGAGAAAGGGATCGGCCAAGGTATTGCCTTATTTCTGGGCAGCCCTCATTAGCTCCCGGCAATTCTAGAGAGGTGGGCTACAGGTCTGGGAGTGCAGCAGGCAAGTAGCAACTCTGTGCCCACAAGATCTCCAACAGGACATTCTTACAGGAACAAGTATCAGTCCTGAAGCACTGATATGCAGCAATGGCTTCATTTTAGCCTTCCTCTTTCAAGCCCCATGCACCTTCAGGCATACTGCTTGGAAGAAGCTGCTTGTGTGCGACTACAAGGCTTTTTCTGTTAATAGGGTCCCAAAGGGAAATTCTGGAAGCAGCAAACATTTTCCTTCAACCTCCTCCATGTAACATTACTGCAAAACCAAGAGCCACAAGGGATAGCAAGATTCCTACAACCAGAAAAAGACAGCTTTCTTTGCTTTTAAGGAACTGTGCTGGCAATTGTGGAGAACATGTCTGTAGTACTTTATGTTCAGGAAAGACTGTGCTTGGGGGAATATCCAAATCTCTGGCAAGCGCATTAGCCAAAAGCAGGCTTGCTACACAAAACACACAGTTTTTCACCTTCTTGGTGTAAGAAAAGAAAACCTAGAAAAACCCCAAACTTAGAGTACTGCCTTTCTCTTCCTTGGAGTATTATTTCATCATCCTCCACTCCCACTGCTGAAATCAGTCTGTCAGAGCTCAGGCAGCCAGGCTGGTTAGCTCAAACATGAGGTCAGATTGGGAAATGGGATGTATTGTAACTCCTCAGGGATGGCCTGGTGAAAACTGAGGCCAAGAGCAGAGCTGCTCCCTTGTAAAGCTCTGTAAGAAGTATGATTGCTGGGATACACAGGGCTCCCAGCCCACAGAAAGGGAGATAATAAGCAAAGACTGCACCTAACACAGGGGTTGGCAACCTCTCAAGGGCCACAGGCCAGACTCCAGCCTCCTTTTCCAAACAAGATGTTTTGCATGTTTCTCTGGCAGTCCTACTGGCAATCCCCAGACATACTGCTTCCCTCATGGTGCAGAGACTCTGAGCCCAGCACTGCTGCTCCATGTTCAGTGTGTCCAGCTACCAACATCAATGCCCACACCAGAAGTTCTTCTATTCTTTAGCGCTGTGAAAACAAGACTTTTTTTTTTTTTTTAAGCAAACTCCACCATCAAGTGAAGATGGTTATTTGTGAGCCCTTTTCCATCTCTAACAGTCCATTTAATTCCACATCCACTTAACTACATCCTTAGTTACACCCTGGACAGATAAAAGGCAGATTTGCCGTTCTGATTTTTTTTCATAAACCAATGTTATCTCCATTAGATCTTAAGCTGTGCGTGTTGTGGGTGTCAGCTAGTGTCTGAACTATGCTAACAATTTATCTACGTGCATGTTCTCCAGAGGGCTGTGTATCAAATCTTGCTTACTTGCCTGCGGCCCTGTGTGCTTTCCGCTTTCCCATGGCTCTGGGCTAGGGAACAGGGCATCACAAGATGTCCTTTAAGGACAGAGCTGTTCTACGAATTGATCAAACTTCACTATAGGACAAACTTGTCTTCCAGTGATGTCCACAACATACCACAACCAGTACTTGACTGGAAGCCTGTGGAATAAGGACCTGCTAATGAAGCTGGGGATGTTTGGACCTGTTCATAGTATTACCTGATGATATAAGAACTGAGTGAGTTATAATTGGGAGAGAAAAAGAATGACGTTGCCTGCAGCATATGACTGCTCAGTGATCAAGCCTGTGGGTTCCAAAGGCTAAGCTAGCAAAGGCTTGGCTTGGAAATGTTAGGTTCTTGTTTTCCCCTCCCAGTTCAACAGCCATCTTCAGAAGCACATGCTTTCAGGCTGGGAATCCAGGGGGAAAGAAATTACAAGAGCAAACTCTGCACAGCTATTTGTCTTGCTTTCACCAAAACTGACAGCCCAACAACTCCCAAGTTTGCCTTAATTCCACACTCACTGGCCATCTTCCAGCAAGTCCCTTCTCTTCTGCACCAAACCTTCTCTCAAAAACACTGAACAAACACCCAGATACAACAGCATTTATTGGGGCAAAGTCCCCACCTCTTCTACTGCTGCCCTTGCAAGAATACCCACAGTTTTGTCACAGAGCAAGGCCTCAGAGAACTGCGCCAGGAGGTGGGGAACAGCTTAGTGAGCTCTGGTCTGTATTCTCCACAGGCTGAAGTACCCCAAGAGAGAAACAGACAGTGGCTTTCATGGTGGAATGCTAGCAAGCGCCTCCTCAGTGTCCACACAGCAGAGCTGCTGAGAATGGAAAACTTGTTCGTTTTTTATTAGTGCTGTTTTGTCTGCTTGGTATCCAGCCCCACCCAGCTAATGCCCCAGTAAAGAAACTGCCTTGAATCTATGTTGTAACAGCAGATGATATGGGTCCAACCTGGAATATTTCCCCCTCTCCCACACGGTAATGGGAACATAGGCAGGCTCCTCCAGCCAGCTCCCACGCACCAGGGAAAGCCCTTGCCTGGAGTAATCACTGGGAGATGGGGTATAAATGTTCTGAATTTGGCCATATTACAGCCTCTGGTGACTGGAATTTGTTTTAGTTCTTTCTGCAAGCACAATGACTACTCAGCTATTGAGCATGTTCCCTGTGGCCACAGGCCATAGGTGTTAACCTCTCTGTATTGAGCGAAGCAGACGAAGTCTTACGTCACACTGCTTTTCTGCTTCTTGAGCTCTTCACCATTCACCCCATCCCATTTAAGCTGCCACACTGAAATGGCTCTGGTCCTGGCATTCCTTTCT